AGGATCTCGCAAAAGTTTTGCAGGATCTCGCAAAAGTTCTTTTTTTCCCCCTCCATGTCCCTTTAGGGGCTCCGTAGAACCCCAACCATGACGTCCATTTTTGACCAATCTCTTTCTTATTGTTTATATGCAATGATTGCCTTTATTTGTAGTTGCAGTTGTAGAATAAAACAGATTTTGTCCTCTAAGTTAAATCATCCCTAAGGGGACCAATGAGGACAGTCTGGAGGTTTCATTTATTTTAGTTTATTTTTTACCTTCCTGAAGGAGGTCTTATTTTTCCATTAATAAAGAAGATGGCTCCCATTGTTGTTCACTACAGTAAATATTCCCAAATTGGAGGTCTGGATATTTGTGATGTGATTCCTTATTTACATGGAAGGCCATATTATAGAATTAAATGCTACAAAAGGTGAATGTAGCATAAAATAAGTAGATATTTAATTATTTAATTTAATTATTGCTGGCACAATCTGAACAAAATTGCTGGCATTTAATTATGTATCCCAACCTGGAGAGATTCATCCAGAGAAAAGCTGCAATTAGAGAAGTTTATTGACATGAATGAAATGTTATTCGGCGCTCGGGCCCTGGCAGAAGACTTTGATGCTGTGAATTGACATTCACTTCGATAAGTAACTTAGGAAAAGAATGAGAACAATCTTCCCCCAGGGTCCGGACGCTGGTGGTGGAATGAGCCAGAGGGTGAGCGGGACTGAGAATAGTCAGAAAGAGAGGAGTAGATGGGGCAGACAGAGAGTCTGTGGAAGGGGCGGGGCATATATCCGCTAACTGCGACACACACGCAGGTTTCTGAGTATAAACCAGCCTTTTAACAGGTATAGGGCATTGCAGACTAACAAAAGAAGCCAAACGACCCCGATTCCGAAGGAGGGGACCCCTTCGTCTGTTTCAATTTGCACGTTTTAAAAAAAACAAACAAGGTTTTGACGTATAAAACCTCGAACTCGACGCTATTTCTGACATTTTGAATTGAAAAAGCTTCCTGGATGGGAAGCGAAAGGTCTTCAAACTTGGAAACAAAGTCAAGTGGATTATTTATTTTAACAGGACTTCAAAAATCATGTTCAGAGTCTCTACATTCAGGGTGACTGAACTGAAGAACAAATATGTAAAGCTGATGGAGACACTTTAAGTACATCAGGCAGATCATAAAGAAAAGCTCATTCTTTTCCTGAAAGCGTAGTTAAAACGTGTTTAATTGTAGGTGGTGGAGCAGCGGTTGGCACTGATGCCTTGCACCATAAGGACAAACGTTCATAACTTTGCATTAAAACTTCCTGCTATGCTGAATCCTCCTTCTTTCCAGGTACTTCAGCTTTTGCAGGGCCTCATAAATACCCAAACAGTGAATACACTTAACAATTCATAGTAAAGAAAAAACAAAGTCTTCCCTATTGATGGGTTTTTGTCGGTCATCCTCCATGTTTTAGAGTAGAAGCTCCTTACTCCATCCTCTCTTTGTGGTTGCCAGGGGAAACCATACTACTTTGACCGAGTGTTCCAGTCCAACACGACGCAGCTGCAGTTCTACAATGCCGTGGCTCTGAAGATCGTCAAAGGTAAGCCTCCGGTATCAGTGCAGCCCAGCAGCCGACGTCCAACCTCTGGGTTCTGATGGGTTCTATAAATGATGCAGATGTTCTGGAGGGATACAATGGAACCATATTCGCTTACGGACAGACGTCTTCGGGCAAAACGCACACAATGGAGGTAAGTTACTGGGACTGTCCAACAGATTTGAGTTAAAACAAAATACAGAGCAGAAACAACAATTAGAAGAGTTTTACTGATGCAATGTTTTAAGTCTCTGGCGCTCAGACGTCGGCAGAAAACATGAGCCCTGAAATTTACTTAAATTATATGCATGACCTGATGAATGAAAACGGGGATCAATCCCCCCAGGACTGAAACTGGTGGTGGACTGGAGATGGATGCCAGCTGGAGTGATGAGCAGAGTAGTTTAGGCCTCCATGATGAGCAAGCATGAAGCAACAGTGGAGAGAAAAAACTCCCCTTTTGAAATTAACTTTGATCAGAACCAGGTTAAACATGGCAGACTTCTGGATGCATGGACAAAGGGCCAGAGAAAGCTGAGACTGAGGTGCTTCAGTAGGGATTTAGGGGTGATGATATTCAGCATGTGATCTAAAAACTCAAATATTTGGGTTATGCAACAGGATAGTCCAAATAACCAAGTTTACTTGAAATCATTCTTTAAAATATGCATTATGTTTACACTTGTGTCTTTGATAGTAAAATTAGTCTGATGATCTGAAGCATTTAAAGGAATAGTACACCCAAAACATGATTAGCCTTCATTTTCTACTCACCCCCATGCTGAACAACACTCT